AATGTGAGCACATTAAGCAGTTAACCTATTTATTTTATTCTGTAATACTGTCCTTTATCACAGGAAGAAACAAAGTATTACCAGTGGACAAACATAGTAATTAAAACATACAGGCCTACATAGTATCCTCCCAAGTAAAAGTAAAAACAGTCAGTCCAAGAGTAAATGAACAGTTTCTTTAAAATCAGTGACTTTCCATTGTGTTTTGGTTAGCCATGCTGCTAACGTAGCCTACTCTATATTAGCACCAATTTCTACCACCAGTACATCGGCACTGATAGATTAAACAAAACAAAAAACAACACACAACATTTATCATCCAATAGTGTACTAACAAAAATGCATCACATGTACGGTGCATTTGTAATTGTGGCCCAAATTCAGAAGTGAATTTCTTCCTGTGGGCGTCCACATGCCGACCTTTCCGTGTACAGGACTGGTCAACACGGCACCTTTGCCAGATAATGTCACCGTCTGGTGCAGCAAAAGTTGAACCAGACCCAACTTGTTCATCGCATGGGGCTGCATCATTTTGCCAGAGCCTCCCACGGTGATGGTGCCCGCTGCGGTGAACGCAATCCCCCATGGAAATGAATAGAGAGGGCTGCGTTTTTTCACAGCTTTGAAACAGTCTGAATGTGGGTTTAGTCTCAGACAGCTAAGGTGCTAGTTCCCACTGATTGTGGGAAAGAAAAACTAAAAAATCAACACTCACAACAGCTGTAATAAACAGACTACCTACATACAGCATAATGCTACAACATGGACAGTGGAGGAGTAAAAGATTCCTTTATTATTTTTTGGTCACAGATCAGACAAACTGTAACAACGTCAGTTATGTAAACTGCTGTGACACTGTCGCTTAAAAAAAAGTTTAACTGAAACCAAGTGCTGGTGAAAGAATAATAAACTGAATAATCTCCTGTCATCTGAGCTATAATAGAATTTTAGCTGAAGCAGGAAATGTTGATGTAAAACAAAAATAATTATGGTTAACAAATGCATGAGCAAACTCAGTTACTACAAAGGCCTGAGACCAAAATAAACAAGAGCAGTTTCAGTGCCCTGTGCAGAATACTCACTTCTGCTTGTTCAGAATATGCCAGTTGCATACAGAGTCACTGTTGTCAGAGAATTTCATGGCTTACAAGAAGAATAACAAACCCAACATCATGTTTTCCAGCAATTAACTTGCTGAGGAAAAGAGTACAACCATGCCAAACATGACTCAGTTCCACCGTCACACAGGACCAACAACATTCTACAGGTGTGTGTTAAAACTAGTCTGTCTTTTGTGGATATCTTGTAGAAATGGCATAAATTGCTGATAAACTACAGTAATATTACTCACAGAATCAAAATACACCAATACTTCAATATTCTGCATGGTGACAGACCAAAGGCCACATCCTGCTTATGAACAGTGAGATAAAAAGTGTAAATCCTCCTTAAAGCTCCTGTCCCAAACACCCAGGCAGTTATCAGTCCAGGCTCCACATGTGAATCCATATATGGGCCACTGTCTAGTGATTTGACGTGTTTATCGGGTGTTTCTCACAGCCTATTACTGTGAAAACTGATTCCAGATGTAGCTCTGGAAAAAATGCAACAAAAACATTCTAGCCCTTCACAAATTGAAAGAGGGATTTTCCAAGCATCTATACTTATGATATGTAAAAACTAAATGCTGAAAAATAAAGGATATAATCATTATTCCATACACTGTTATTGCACATAAGGTCCCATATAGATATGAACACACTGCAACAATTCAGTTGTGAAATGCAGCTTAAAAGAGGTAGAGTGAGAATGAAGAGTGAGCGGTGTTAGCGTGAATTAAGCAGTGAATCAGAGAAGTAAACCTTTTCTGATTGGTTGCGTTCTATAAACGTGGCCATACATTACTTCCTTATAACCCTGCGGGAAGGATTTTGTGTCGAGTAGCCTGGACGTACACAAAACGCTGCTTTTTGTTCTGTTGTGCCGTCACTGCTCTCCACCTTGTGTGCGTGGCTAAGCCCTGCACAGACACACAGCAGCAGTTCAGCATCCTGCAGCAAACGGAGGCACGAGAGACTAAATGGGGAAACATTCTGCTCCAATGTATTGCAAAACTAATGAGGAGAAGTGGAAAACACACTTTTGCACGTCATCATGGAGACAGCCTTGACATAAGTGGAGTGGGGTGCAGGGTGATGTCCAAGTGGACTTCCCCGGACATTTGCCATCCTCACCTTTCCACACACACAGCCTATCTGTGCAGACAATGTCAGGACTTCACTTCATGTCTGAAAGCGAGATAACTAGCTTGCTACTTTTGGAGTGAGGACTGAAAAAAAAATCTCTTTTTAAATAGTTTTGTTTAATCAGTAAGACTGTGTTTTTATGACTTTATGTAACGTGCACATCTACTTTTGAACCTCAGAGAAGACAGTCCCTTGCGCACCCCCAGTGATCTTTTGATCACCCAGTAATGTTTTATAGTCTCTTTTCTGCAAACACATGTATTTTAATACACTGGACCCTTATAGAAGTTAGGGACTTCCTAGAACACACGCTGTTCTGCTGATGATTTTCTTGGCATTAATGTTACTGGAGCGACAACAGACAAGCGGCAGCTTTAGACAAAGCTCTGCAGCTGGTTTGTTTTTAGTTCAATTATCAGAAGTGAAATGAACCAATCAAGTGCAACCAAAAGGAGGGGTGTTTTCATGCAATACAGCCAGACACAGTATCTGGGTATAAGACACTGAGCTCTCTGTTGGCAAATTCAACATCTCTTTCATTGTGGAACCTAACACATCACAAGTTTCAGTCTCAGCTGTGTTTTTGGAAAGATGATCTTGAATACTGAATGAATTATGTATGAGTGTAAATAATGAATACATTTTAAAGAGATATTTACACAGACACAGATTTTCTTCCTGTCCTACAGTTTTTCATTCCAATCTAAACCTAAAATAACTGTCACTGGTTTGCAGAACCACAAAGGCCCCGTTAAAATGCATGAATCAAAATGAATTTGAAAATTAATTCAGCTACTCTTAGAAAACATTCAGCAAAGCTTCTAAATTAAGATTTTTATTGGTTAAATAGACTGATTAAATTATCACTGGCAGATGATTTTCTCTAGTGAACACTGCATATAAAATAAATATGGACTTATCAGCAATGGATAAACCAATCCAGCATCACTCCCACACACTAAGAAAAAGACCAAGACTGTTACTGAGAAAAGACATCAAGATAAAGGTACATTTGCTTGACTAATTTTGATACTTTTCAGTACACCAACTTCAGTATGCCACCTAGTATCACTCTTGTGATTTTGCTGCCTTTTAAGATTAAATGTCATACATCATACAGTATATATATTGTCAGCTGACAATGATATATGATGTAAGGAAACAGCTACAGTTAATAAAATCAGCAAAGGACCACAAGCACTGACCAAACCCTGCCTACAAATTCCAGGCTCATGAGAGGTCAAGAGAAAACCTGTTACATTGAGTCTGTATGTGTAAATGGAGTACAGGGTTTCTGGGAAGCACAGTATTCAAAAGATGTAAATCTTGACACCATTTCAGCGAGCCAGCATGCTAGGTTGTGTGGATGTAATGCAAAAACAGACAAAGCATTTTAAGTGAGAGCCGTCCTCTTGAGCTGTGTCAGCCAAAGCAAGTGACTACAAAGACAAAAGTTCCACTAGCAGGCGCCTCTGGGATGATAAATGTCTGGTTTCTGGCTCAAGTACATTCAAGCAGCCACAGACACTGTGTATCATGGGAACTGAATATGTGACCTTTTAGTTGCAGAGCAATCCCTCTGCTGCCACAGACCTTCCTAATCAGTCATGTAAGCTCTCTCCTCTCTGCATGGAGATATGCTTTTGTAGACATAATGGGCTGATAAGGCCCCTTATAATGAACGGAGCAGGCATCGTCCTCTGCCTTTTTATTTAGCCATCTGTTCCTGTTTATCACTCTACCCTCCTTCACTTGTCCAAAACAAAGATTTAGGATTAGCTTCGCTGACACAGAGAATATTACATTATATTCTGATGTCATGTCCATGATCCTACTAGCAAAGAAGTGCAACTATGTTTGAACGCACAAGAGACGCTGGGAGCCATGAAGCTGTGAGAAGGCCAAAAGGGAAACATAAGAGCTGGAAAAAAGTCAAAGTCAAGTGAGAACTCCAACAAAAAGCAAATGTGGATAACACATAGCTGAATGTGTGTTCACATCGGAAAACTGGCAGCCGCTGTGAGTGTGTTTCTGCGTGTGCTTGCGTCACACGAATGTGAGTGTGCATGTAGTGAAGGGGCCTCCTGTGCAGCTACACTGGAGCCACTTAGCTTTTGGATGGCCAGCATTTAATCTGAGAGAGGCTGGTTGAAAAGCCCAGTTTGATTGCTTTTTTTTAAACAACCTCATCTACAAAGCCTTAAATAACCAAATGCAAAGTGGTTCCAAACTGAACTACATCTCAGTGCCTGGGAATACACACAACAGTCATGACTATTTAATAGCACCAGCTGTGTGGTTACAGCAGGAGTGGGTGGCTGAAACAGAGGAGGCCTCGAAATGGAATTATGATCAGTGAGAGCAGTTCATTACCTCCGCCTAGGGGGTTATGTTTTTGGTTCTGTGTGTGTGTGTGTGTGTGTGTGTGTGTGTGTTGGTTAGCAGGATTACAGACAAACAGCTGTATGGAGAAACTGGTGTGGACCAATCCTAGAAGTGAATAGATTTTGGCTGAAAAAGGTCAAAGATCAAGGTCACAAAAAATAATGGAAAAAAAAACGGAATCTCTAAAATGTCACTGAATGCTTCAACTTACTTGTTTTGTCATTTTTATTCATAGCAAGCATGTGATGGAAAGCAATATGCAGAGATCATCAACAAATATGAATGTTCATAAAAATAAAAATCATAATTTATCAGCATTGTTCACTGGCTAACTCAAATTAGTGCGAGTAGATTAGAATTTGATCCCACCTGCCAGGCAGAGTCCAAAGATGGTGAGAAGAACGAGGATGTAGAGGGACACAATGGCATACTTGATGGCCGAGAGGGAGTTCAGGTGAGCGCAGCACTGATCCTGCTTCCTGCGGCGCTTTGTGGAACCTGATGAAAATATCAGAATCAAAAAAGTCTAAATACAGTAAATATTGTTAAGTTAGAATAATACAGCAATTAAAAAAAAATTACATAAATACATAATCAGCAACATTGGATACATTCTTGTTTACTGGTTTTAAAATGGTCATACTTGCATTATGACAAATATAATTTAGTTGAGAAACTACTGAATGTGTTTATTTCCCTATTTGATTGCACATTTTCCTATCCTGAATCACACTATTTGGCCATTCACCCCATTCGCACTCACACATTCACACACCAGAGACATCACCGGGAGCAACTGGGGGTTCAGTGTCTTGCTCAAGGACACTTCGACATGTGAACTGGACAAGCCGGGAATCAAACCACTAACCTTCCAGTAGGAGACGGCCTGCTCTACCTCCCGAGCCACAGCCGCCACACAAGTTACATAGATATAGTGTACTCATAAAACGGAGTTACAAAAACAAACAACACACTGACTGAGGCGCTATTTCTATAACTCATGTCACCACTAAACACTCCTCTCAGGGTCAAACAGATGCTTGACAATTTGTCTTGATAAAACTGCCACAGGACAGTTTATGTTTGATGAATGTGTTTTTTCCCTTTGTGTGTGTATATGTGTCTGCACTTTGGCAGGAGACAGGGATTAGGATGTGGAACATTCCCTTCAGGTCAAAAGGATAAAATTATTCCATAATATTATTCTGGAGACATATCCTGGAATAGGAATGAGATATTATTTACAAATAATCGTCCTCAACATTGTGAAAGAAATAAATGTCCATTTTGCTGACAGAGGTGGCAGAGATCCCTCACTGAAGTAAAGTAGCATAACATTAGCAAAATATTATTCCTGCACTGTACCCAAACATTAGGGGGTAACAACCTACTACAAGATAATATAACTGACTTTCTATTTACCTGGGATATTATGAGGTTACAGTGAAATTCCAGCTTCCTGTGAACAGTCATGATATTGGCCTGAGCCGGACCTTTTAATACAAACAAATTCTGCAGCATGGCCTCCAACAGCATGGTTTCATTTGGACTAAGACAGCCTGTCAATGGACACTGGTGGATTATTGCTGATGCACACACACACACACACTTGACTTCACTTCCCCTCTGTGATGAAGAACACACACTCCGCTGGCGTAGGACAAACACAGCTGGCTCAGATGTATGTGTGTGTCACATGGCTGGAATGTACAGAAACAGACATGGCACTCCAAGTTAGCCTGTCTCTTCAGTACGTCTCATGCTGGACTTCAGAATACACTTTAAAAAGGAGGAAACAAAACAACGACTCACCATACAAACACCTAGAGTGGAAAATAGAACCAGCACTCTCTAGATTAAGGGAGAAACGGTCACCTACTTTTCTGTCTTCTGATGTTTTTGCTTCCAGGCATGAACATTTTTATGACTTTATAAGATTGTTTATATTTGCTATTGTTTCATGAGTTAGATGAGAAGATTTATACCACCATCATGGCAAACTGGAGCCAGTGTGACAGTTAGCTTAGCATTAAGACCAGAACTGGAGTGAAAGAGCTAACATAGCTCTCCCTACATGTGGTTTTACAAACAGCTTAACTATTTAATTCAAGTAACATTTCATCTGTGACAATTAGTGAGCTTTAGCATTGTTGGAAGAGGCGTTTCTGAACTTTGGGGATTGCCAGGCTAGTTGTTTCCCCCCGTTCACAGTCTTTATACTGAGCTAAGCTAAGCTAAGCTAATTGCCTCCTGGCTCTAGCTTTGTACTTAATGCACATTTATAATCTACTTATCTAATTCTGGTAAAAATTAACACAGTTTCACCACTAAAAACTTTCTTGCATGGTAGCTGAGGGTTCAGTAATACTATACTTTAAATTACTGCTTTTTACAGTTTTGTGTGTACTGCTGCAGGTCTATAAAACCCAAATGTTTCTATAATTTCCACATAACATCACAGCAAAAATGCTACCTAATGAAAATTAGAAGACAAACTTTTCAAAGATGTTATTGGTGCTTTGGAGCTTTTCCAATTTACATCAGAGAAACAGATCAATGTCAATATTTATTCACGAGTAATTGTAAAAACATTTGGAAATCACATTATTGCACCACTGTCTGTTCCCTTTCAATCATGTCTGTCTTGGGATAGTATTGTCAACATCCTGGATGAAGAGACAGTGCATTTAATAAACAGATTAGTCAGGGAATAGTAAACCTACAGGGTTATTTTGTTAGAAAACTTGGAGGTCCAACAGTACATTCTGACCCATTTTGACACATATTCTGAGTATATCTGGTTGTTTTTGGCACAGTTAGTGTGCTTATAAGGACAGGGCACTGTTGTTTTAACTTCAGCTTTCCGGGTCAAATACATGTGGTGCTTGGCAAGTGTCACAGATTCCATATAGCAGGTGATGGTGACATTATATGTGTGCACACAGTTTCCCAGTGGTTTCCCAAACAAAGGTGCTATGTGCATATATTTATACATTGATGTATAAAAGCCAAATTAATTGTAACATGCTGTTGTAATTGCTTACACAAGTGAGAGCATGGTAGAAAGACTTGATAACACCTCATGTTAGTGTGTGTTGCAACAGAGGTCATGACCCATATGCTCTTTAGAACTTTTGTTCCAAGATTAAATTTGTTTTTTATCCATAGTTTACAAAGTTTTAACCCTTAATGCACACCCGGCTCATATAGTTTATAGTTTGCTCTCGCTCTAATGTAAACAGGACAGGAGATGGCACAAGACGAGGATGAACACTGGTGTTGTCTTTCCCAGATGGGAATCCTCCATGAGGGACAAATGTTTCCAGAATGACACAGAAGTTGCACCTTTTCTGCTGGACAGGTAATTCAGCCTTACAGGTAAAGTTAACCTAAATTGTTGGAACATGAAAACATAATACCAGAGTGAAAGTCTGTGACAAATAATCTGCTCTACGTCAAACATTCCTTCTTACTTTCATCACAAAGGTTGAGTTTGGACAAGTTGTGTCCATCGCAGGCCTCTTCATACATGGAGCCGTTCTCTCTCTCTTCATATGTACTCAGATACATGGCCTTGTTCTCCATCTCCTCCTATGGAAGAGAAGAGATACACATCATCCACAAAAAAAAAAGACACAAGCATGCTGAAATACTACAGTATATAAAAAATAAAGATTTCACATTTGTATTTGCTCTGTCTCGGTACAATACGACTGTGAGAAATGAAAACTATAAAGGTGCAGGTCAGAAATTTCATCATTTCAATTACTTGCTACAGCTCAGACAAAGACGTGGAAATAATTTCCTAAACCTCATGTTGTTGTTTGATCACATCTTCTCCAAAGAGATCTCTGAAGGTCAACATTCTGACGTTAAGATTACAGCAAGTTAGAAATGCTGTGACAGAGTTATTGCTGGGGACTGCATTATAGCAGTGGAGTCCTCACAGGTATAGACATTCAAATGTGTATGTCTACATTGCCGCCCTCTAGTGCTGTGACCAGCTGTGAGAGCTCTGACGGTCTCTGCAGCACTTGTCAAGTAAGACAAACGCACACACACACACATACTGTACAAAGATGTAGGCCCAAAATCAACAAACGGAAGGAAATACTTGTGGTGTGAGGACACAGAGGATTGTTGCTGTCTTTACACCAGTGTCAAGAGATTTGTTTCCTCCACCAGCAGTTAGACAGGGGTTGTGATTTTGCCCCATTCCATCAGTCTGGTTGCCTTTTAGGAGGATATTTTGGAAAAACTATGAATGAACTGGCCAGGAGGAGTGTGTGGAGGTGGCTGTGGCTTCTTCAAACAATACTGTGGTACTAAAGCTGCACTACAGGTGTAGGGTTCCCACGCTGCACTTGATGCAAACCAAATATGAACAAAGTGAAAGGGAACACAGAACAAATAGATGGAACAAAACCCCCGGCAGCAGACCTGAGAGTATTTGACAAAGTCGTTAGAAATCACTCAGTCTGGACTTTCTCATTACCGAAGAGGACAGGGGATGTCAGGCTGACATTTAGACTGCTGGGCAGCAACTATTAGAGCTGCTAGGAGATCCCACTAAACTCCCTGTACCCCTACATGTGTGTGTGGGTGAGTTCTAAATACACTGGGTTTAGTAGGATATAATGCTCTTTTAATCAAACACTCAGTTGGACTCTGTGCAGTGCCATCAGAGGATGGTGGGAAATAAAAGCAGCCACTTTACAGAGAGTAATCGCTGTCTGTGCTACAACTGTGGACAAAATAACAGAAACATCACATGACATTTAGGAAAAAATTCAAATAAGAAAACCACATCTAGACAGGTTGTCACACAGATGAATAGCTCTGATTTAAAGGGATAGTACAATGAAAACATAAAAACAACTGAACTCCACTGTACATTTCCCAAAACATTTTCCAGGAAACACTACCTGCCTACAGAACTGTTATTTCCATGCCCAAATATTCACATGCCGAAGCATTAAACTAGTGGTAATAATACTTTACTTTGTCTCAATCAGTCTGTCTTTCTCCTTCATCCACATTTGCGTCCAATTAAATAACCAAGAAGCCTTTAATACATAATACTATATCCCCTCAGACCTCCTCTACAACCAAAGCTAATCTGACCAAACCCTAATGGGAAGTGGGTTCTGATCTCTTCATCTCTCAGATGACTGGAGGCTTTCCTTCTCACTACAAACAATTCAAGATGCAGCATGACAACAAGCCAAGAAAAAAGCAAAGCTGCACTACAGGCGGGCCTCGCATCTCATTGAGGGAGCCAAACCTTGGGGTCTTGCAGCTGGTTTGGGGAACAAATATACATAAGCACACATCTGAAGCTAAAGAACACTCAGATACATCTTTTCTTCTGGGATGATTTCATGAAAACAAATGTTTTGCTAAGAAAAGACCCTGCAACAGCTCCACACAGATTCTTCAGGTTGAATCAATGCCACAGAAAATGCACAGAGAGGCAGAGAGTGATGGCTTGCTGAACTGAGAGAGACTGGATCTTTACTCAGCAAAGAAGAAAACAATTATCTGGTAACGGTCCACAAAATCTGCTGCCAACTGAGCATCCGATTGTCTGCGAGGTCAAAGGGAAGCAGCACGTGTGGTCTCTGCTGCCTGTACAGCTATTGGAAGTATCTGAAGATGTAACAGCGACAGAGCCAGCAGTAAAAGCACAATGCTAGCGGAGTAAATAGTAAAAAAAACTGTCTCAAAAGGTTGTAAAGTAGTGAAGTTAATGTAGGCTCAAAGACTCATTAATTTAACAATTAAATACCATTAAAAATAAAAACCTCAATTCTTGAGGTGCATTTTCCAATAAAAGCTGACAGGTTGGTTTTATGATCTCTAAACTCTGAAGGGGGGTTAGTTAAAGCATCATCCCTCTGTTTATACACAGGAAAACATCCATGCCATTGCTCAGTCATCCTTGTGCAACATAAACCCATTGTGCTAGCTAAATTAAAGGCACTGATGCTTCATTCATGATCGCTGACACACAAAGCTACAATTTTCTGCAGATCAGTTCCATTAAAATGTGCATTTCCTGTCATTTTGTACTGGAGCATACCTGCATAATAAACAACACACAGTATATACTGGAAAACAGTCTATGAAATAAATCATGTGGTGTTTTTACAGTGCCACAGCATTTTTGAGATGCTGAACACAACACTCAACACATAAGGACATTAATCACTAAGCTTTCACCAAGTCTCTGTGCAAAGAATTTGCTGACACACATGACAGCTCCCTAGTATATTCAAACTGTATATTTCTGAAAGGGTAAAACAGGTGGCAGAGGGTTAACTGGGAGTTAAAATAGGTGCAGTCACTTCACACACACACAAAAAGATGATTTAAGCATTTTTACAAAACAAGTTTCAATACTTTGTCAAGCACAGGTAAAAAAAAAAAAATAGCCTAAGTAGTAAAAGCAGCTTTATCTCTTTTACCTTATCAGCTGTCAAATGTAAAGAAATCACAGCTTCTCGTTTCTCATAATTTCTCACAAAAAGTTGCGTCCTGACGCGGTAACGCCAGGTTTCTCTTCGTCCAGTCCGTCGGCTGTCAGCGTCATTAAGCGGACGTTACATCGGACAGACAGTAACACACTGCAGCGTGCACGCTCCCCACACAGCCAGCCAGCACCTCTGCACTGAGGAACAAGCGCTGACATTTGGAAAGATATACCTACAACATCGTCACGTGACCACCACCAAACTCCAGCTGCTCTGCTCGCTGAGCTACTGATGAAGAAGAGAGGTGACAAAAGTTTACTCCACCGCGGCACACTTCCGCCATCTGTCGGTTGGAACTGGTAACTGAACTGAATACTTGGAGTCAGGACTGAGTTTTCATATTGTAATAGAGTACCACACATCCCTAAAGAGGATCATACCTTTTCCACCGCCTAACGTGAACCGCCGCATGACAGCAGTGCACAGAACTGATGGTGCTGGCAGGCGATGTGCAGGCTGTGCAGCGGTTTGACTTTACCTGCTGTCAGTAATGCCTGTCATGAATAAATAAATGCTGTAATTATAATTTTACCCGCATTTCCGTTTTACATCATGTGCATTTTATTTAAAGCTGTATATGCCTATTTGTTTTTGGACAAGTAGGGGCAGCACAACAAGCTGTAGACTAAATAAAATACCGAATATTAGATTTATCAATGGGGAATTTTGCTGTTTGAACGCACCATACAGATGTACATATTTCTGACAGCACGTAAAGGCATCACGCCAACAGGACGTATCAGTGGGTGGAGCTGGGAGACGGAATGCAGCTACTGTAACACCTCCATGTCCTGGACAGGTACAGACAAGGGTCGCCGCTATTTTTTAACGATAACAAACGCACCGGAAGTAGGTAAATACTGTACAACTTCTCATTCAACAAACCCACACACAGTTCGTACAGATGTCAATGTGCTTTGGTATTTAAAGTCCGTCAATAATGTTTCATGTTGCAGGCTACTGTACTGCACATCACTGGGTTGGTGTGATCCACTGTGCGGGCCTGTCCTCTGTTCACAGAGCCGTACACCAAATCCTATTCAAATTTTAATGATTATATTTGGGATTATTTTACCTGTACAGGTAGACCTTTATTATACCCCACAAAAGATGTTAGAAGGTAACTAATTCAAGTCGGCAATAGACTGAGTCCAAGGACACACTTTGATAAGTCACAGTGTCAACACTGACTTGTAACAGCAGATTAAACAACTGCGCCCAGCAATGAACAGTGTGAGTGAGACGTATAAAAGTTTAGAGCTGCATTTCCTCAAAATATGAACAGAAATTTGCATAAACCTACTGTAGGAGAGAGAATCAAGACCAGGCTCCAAGCACTTTATAAAGTTGGAATTGTTGAGCACTTCCTTCTTAAGATACAGTAAAAAACTGCATATTTAAGACTTGATTAAGAGAAATTACTTATGCAAGGCTGTAGATTTATGTCTTGGGATGTTGGACGATGCTTAACTTGTTTGAACATGGGACTTTAGTTTGGTTCTTACTAGGTATCCAAAAAGAGTTTTTAAAAATAAATTAATTAATGCCACCGTGGTTCCTTGTGCTGTCCATGCCATGGGGACTTTAACTTAGCTTTAAAACAAATCTATTTGGATTAGGTGTTATTCATAAGTTAATAAAAGGCAGTTCAATAAGGTAAGGAGGCAGAATACTGTTCTTTTTACTGTATATTACTTGGTCCTGGTTGAGTTGTAATGGGGCACTGGGTGGTGTGAACATAAATGAAATACTTCAGAGGAAATGAGACAAGCACACAGTCACTTTACTCCCATGCCGATCTAAACCCTTTGGGATCCACTTTGCAGCCATGTATTTTAAGAAATCCTGACCTCAGGCATAAAACAGTTTTCTTTACCCTCAGCACACCCTGAGTCTGAAGGGAACTTTCCTCTGTGTCTTTGCTTGGTGTAAAGGTCTTCATTCACTGTGTGTCACTTACACCGCTGGGACCTCTTACAGCCCTGGCCAATCACGCACCACCCTTAATTAACACAGGAAATCACAGTTCTGTATTTATAACCCCATAACTAGACTGGCCTGCTGAAAAGGTCACATCAACAGTTTAGCAGTTTTTGCCCGATAGCAGCGCAGCCCAAGAGGATATGGCTGGGAGGAAATCCAAATGAACCAGAGGCATAGAAGCAACTTTTAAAAAGAAAAAACTGCAGAACTTTTTTGACTTCTGAGTGCTGGAGCTTCTTGGTCCCTCAGTCATTTCAGGAGGTTGTTGAATTAATCAATGGAAAATACCCTTACTCCGAGGAAGTCGGTGACGCCACGCAAGAAGCAAACTTCATCCAAAACATCAAATATCGAGAGAATCTGACATTTCCTTACCTGTGAGGGACCAGCACAGACAAACAATGTGCCCCGGGGCGAACTGTAAAGAGGGACGTCTGCCTGTTCATGATGACGGTGGCTGAATTCCTCAGGTTACATTCTGTCTGGTGAACCTGTGTGTGTTTTTTAACAGTATTGTTGGTCGTTAGTGAAATAACCTATAATCGGCCTGTAATTTTTCTCATTGTGCAGATGATTTGTTCATTTTAGCACATTTTCCTGCCAGAATAATTAAATAATTAGACAATTATTCATCTGACAGAACATTAATCACCAACAAATTTGATAAGCAAATAATTGTTTAAATAATAATTTTCTATGTTTCATGTCATTGCAAATTGAATATCTTAAGATTTCGACCTGTGTCAGACAAAACAAGCAATTTCAATGCATGGCACACTGGGTTCTGTTAATTATTGACTAGTATTTTAACAAACAATAAACAAATAAGTAAACAATAAACAAATCCAAAAGATATAAAAGGAAGATTCAAGTTATAACAAACTGGAATTATGCTTTACCAACAGTGTTTTTCTCTCATCACTGCAGCAAAGGGCTAAACATCGGGCTACAGCGCAGCGTATGCTTTAGGATGCCTCTCTGCACAGTGATGTCTGTGTGTTGTTAAGTTTTCTGTCTTTCCAGGGAGTTGCTGATGTGGCTGCGGGGTGATGGGCCTGTCAAAGCGAGTGTCGTTGTGGTCGGTGGAAGAGGTGTTGGAGTGGGTGCAGAAGCAGCAGCTGACCCACATCAGCACACTCCAGAAAGCCATCATTAAACACGCTATATCAGGTACAAGTCAAGCATTAAATTCAAATTGCTTTGTTGGAATGTTAGATGAGAGGATGCATGTGTCGAGCAGATGTTAACTTCTGTCAGCTTTTCTAACAGTTGTGTAAGAGACTGAGATAAAACAGCTCCTATTAATATCGATATAAAGCCCTGAATGTGCACTGGTTTTGGTTTACTACTTCTCATTTACACTCGACATGCACTTGATTTGTGAATGAACATTCAGGCCGTGTGTTGCTGAGATTAAAGGGTCATCACCTGGAGCTTCTCGGAGTGGAAGCTGAGCAGCAGCAGCAGGAAATCTTGCAGGGCCTGCTCCTCCTCAGAGTTCAGGAAGAAATCAATGAACTCGATGACATCTGCTCTGGTGAGAATGCCAATAACATCATCTTTGGGGTGTAGCTGAGCTGTAGCTAATAAAGTAGGAGTAGAAACACAGCTTGTTTGACAACTCTGCACCCAAAATAATGAGTCAAAGACCATTAGTGGTGGTGACGACCAACAGTCCTGTGTATGTACATATCATCCATGGCTTTACAGGAGATAGTTTTAGCTCAAAGTTCAGGATTAACATTTAATTTCTTGTGTCCAATAAAAAACCCAGCTGCTAACTTATGCTTTATTTGTTCTCTTTTCTATTCTCCAGAGTGTTTTTCATCATAACAAAATATACATAGGTCAACACAACTTACTGTTTTATTTTCCGCACATTCATCCATCCATGTGAAGAACAGAGAAAGGTGGGAGTGATGGAAAACACTGAGAGAATGTGAAGAGAACGAAGAATCAATGGGGAGTGAAGACAGAAAGAAACCCATTTCCTGTGTGAAATTTGACCTGTGCAGATGGATGAGATGAGTTTTTGTCTGAGTGTCTTTTTTCTGAACCCTACTGTCCATTAGTCTCTGTCTTCTGTCCTCTCGGCTGTGGGTTCCTACTCCCTTTGTAGTATGATAAAATTTTGTATTTGCATAAAATCTGATGTCCTGAATGTGGAAATCAGTACAGTACACTGTGCAGTTGTTTATCACTAACATCCTGCATCACATCGATGGCAGCAAATAATGCTTGGATAGCATTTTATCACCTAAATAGGACTCAGCTGACAAATCTAAAAAAACATTAGGCCAAATAATGAACTGTCAGTTATGTCAGTGGATGGCAGCCACCAATTAACCAAAGTCAAAATCAGAAACATCTATTAAACTCTGGATGTTTAATAGATGTAGTAGAATGTGATGTTTTACACCTAAAACAGGAAGTTAGAACAGGGCTTCTCAGCTGATTGGGACCCAGGGACCACCATTCTGACTAAGAGGCAAGTTGATCTGCTTCTTAAAAATGTTGATAGCTTGTGAACATCATTTATGCAAGTGGTTCTAAAAATTTCAGGCACCTTTTTTTTTAAATTACAAAACCTTATGTTCTATATCCACTGCACGTTTGTATTATGCAAAAGGTCATGTCTATTTCTGAACATTTCTTCCTGGGGCTGCTACATTATGGTTGCTTGAATTAAAAGTGCTGCTTTGGCAACATCACCCTACCTGCTGAGGGTTTTTTTTTTTTGCCAGAAACTCTCGGACTTCAGTTATTCTACTCTTAGTGTAATAATAAGTTACTTGCATGTCAGCTTTTTGCTTTTACAGCTGCGACTCTGTGCATCAATCCAGCGTTCCCCTGTAACTTTGTTGCTGTCTGGTTGGAAAAAAAAACAGACCACCATGAAATATCTAAGACTGCAAAAACTGAAGGTTATAATAATAAAAAAGAATAATGCTCAGCTGACCTCTGTGAATCATGTTATAGATGCTAAAGTGTTGATGAACTATGCAGTAAAAATATATTCAAATCTGTGACGGGAGGTATTTTAAAAGCTATGTTCTGTTTTAGGGGGGAAAAAATGACCTTTTGTTGACATTGACATAGCTGAGGAAAAAGATGTGAAGAGATTGGTGAGTATGGGACATTTGGGGTGTTCAGATGACTGGGATGCTGCTGCTGTAGTTACACTACATGCTTTCTGGTCTCTCCTCAATATTAACATGATTAGTGAACGAAAAGTTCCCAAAATGAGTTGCTTTCTTTACTATAAAGGGCAGGTTACTTTTTTTTTTTTTCAATTTTGCATTAAACCAAATTAGTAGTTACAGTAGTAGAAGTAGAGGTGAAACTTGCAAACCTGTCCTTTAAATCTAGCAGGACAGAGGTGGTAAGATTTAAATGCCTTCAACAAACAGTGATAACCATTTGCAGACTTCTAAAATCACCTTCTAACATAGTCTTTTACTATCACAGGCTGTGTATTATCAGCTTGTTGCAGCTCTTCATAAGATGTTTATATGGAATAAAATATATATCTTTTGTATAATACTTCATACACATTTACCCAATACTAAGAAATATTTGATACATCTGAAAAGGTTTGGATTTCTACTAAGCTGTAAAGTTCTGTGGGTTTGAAAAACATTTACTTGCACAGGGTTTCTAATGACTGGTGAGTTAGAATACCAAAGAATGTCTTTATGCTCCCTAGAAACAAGTACTGCATGCAGTCGGACTCATGCGTACAGTACAGTACAGTACACAGAACGGCGAAGAAGAGGAGGCATACTGCTGTTAAGAGCAAGACACAACACGCTTATGAAAACCTGTGAATCTGGTTTATATGTGTGTATACAGTATGTGTGTATGGGAGAGTGTCACATTTATGTTTACAATTATGTACTGCGCATTTCACCATATTATCCAGCTTTCTACCATGTGACCTTTACTTTCTTTTCCTTTCTACTTCCAAGCTTGGTTGTGTGTATGTATGCGTATGTGTGTGTGTGTGTGTGTGTGTGTGTCTGTGAGTGTGATTAATACACCCAGAGATGGTGTGACATTTGATTTGACGGGGTGTGGCTGAGGAAGCACTAACTCAGCACAAACATAAATCCACCTCACTGACAGAATGACGGGGATGATGAAAAACACCACTGACCCTGATGACAGAGCCAAAACGAGAAGTCTGATGCAAATAACCAAATGTAACACGGGTTATTTTTGAGTTAGATCCTTTGTTAGGAAATCGCACAACAGGGGTGTTTACAGGGAAAAAAATCAAAGACTATAAAAGCTGGTCAAAAAATGAAATATGCTTCCTAAGTGCTTCTTTAATCATGCAAGAAATAGTTTTGTTTTTTGTAATTTGGCCTGTTCTAAATATGACTGAACAAGTTGAATAAGTTCATAGCTGCTGGTGAAGGATGAGTAAACCATGTATAATGAGACAAAGCTCCAGGACTAAATGGAGATGAGACCATTTTGCCAACTCATATATGCATGTTTAGTTTGTAAATATAAAAATTTACACTTTATATGCACAACTTCTTTTTCATGGCAATAAGTCAGTTTTATGCTTTGTCCTTTTTTTTTTTATAGTTTCTTTTACCTGGTGCTGGTGAAATTCCATTTAATTCAAGGAGAACCTGAGACTTCACTTTGAAGAAGCAGAGTTGTAATCACTAAACCTCAAGTCCGAGTTGAGTCTCGAGTCCCCAGAGTCCGAGTCACCAAAGAATAGTTTGAGTCTGTTACCTGAGTCCGAGTCATCAATGTCTATATTAAACACAACTGACACAGCTCGTACCATTTTAAAAGGCATTTATGTACTGTGTGGAACATCTAGGGCCAGCCCTCAGTGTATGAGGGTTCCTCTATTATACTATAAGGTATTTACTATGTAAAGTGCCCTGAGATGATTATTGTTCGGTGCTACACAAATAAACTGAACTGAATTCAGTCAGGAGGGTAGAGACAAGAAAAGAGAGAGAGAGACTGGCTGTTGCTGCAGTATAACCTACTAAAAAGAAGATCACTTTACATCAGTATCACTCTACTTTCTGTGATCCTGCTCAACTAAATTGCTCTTATTACCTTGCAATACATCTGCAGATTCATTCTAATGACTTACTGTATCTCATCCATGGTTCAAAAACCATGCTGTGATTTAATATTTCCACTTGCATTTGTACTGGACTTCTGCCATAGAGCTGCTTAGCAATCAAATTACATCCAACAGCCCGAAGCTTTTCCCTCTGGAGACTCTTCATTTGAAGAGACCATGGATATGTATGGACAAAAAAGAGGTCAAAGCAGCAGGAGCAGAATGATGCTGCTTACTTAAGCCTAACATTCAGTGATGTGTTGACACTGATAGATGTAAATGTTTGTTCTAATTGTATGGTGTCAGTCACAGCTCCTACATTTTCTGAGCCACGAGCATGTTAAATGATATTCATTGTATATTTTGAGGACTTAACTGGACTGATGCAGCCGAGTAGGAGTAAACAGAAGGAAAGCAACAGCAAGACAGACAGTGGATGGATAATAGAGACAGCAAAATAAAAGCGGATTCTGTCCTCATGCTGAGTTTATTAGCAAAGCGCACCTGTTCACTAGCTACAGCAGGTGCCTCTAGCATACAAGGCCAGATGGAGAGTAAATGGGTGGATATGTCTGTGTGTGTGTGTCTGTGTGCTAGTACAATCCCTATGGCTGTTTGCTACCAAACACACCCATTTGTTAAGACAAATGAGTGACACAGGAAGTAGGGTGGATGGGGCGGAAAACCTCCAGCTACAGGCCAAAGAAGACAAAACCAACACAGTATACTTTATTACCTGGAAGTAGAAGATGAGTTTTGTGAACAAATGGTTCATCTATTTCCCCTCACGTCAATGGAAGCGTGGCACTTGATTTATCTTCTCTGTACTGGAAGCTATGGAGTGAAAGAGAGAGAGAGAGAGAGTGCAATAAAGGTATGGAGGATGGGCTCCTACTGCCTTTTAACACCAAAACAGCTCAAATGAATTTAAAGGTGAAGCTTTAATCAGGAAAATAAATAAAGAAATAAAATGCAGACCTCTTAACCTTGTCAGATTTACACTATATGGTTGTAAAGTGTTTAGATAACCTGTCTAAACTATGGTGTGATGCTCACATTCTGAACATTCATATTTCTTGCCAGTTTGTTGTAGTAATGTAGAGATGGTGGCAACAACTACACAAATACAACCCAAATTGTATAAAATGACATGTTTGACATTGTCTTTATTAAAAAAATATACATAACATTCTACAGGAACTCTGGGAACAGCAGCAAACATCATAATAAATCACATCTCAATAAATAAAGCAGATTTGTTTCAAATTAAAGGCAGAATATCTGACAGTAACATAAGAAGTACAAAAACTGCATTAAAGGATGTAAAATCAGAAAGAAAGAGAAGAGCTTCAGAAAAGAAAACACAAATAAAATACTATATTTACATTTTCAGTGTGTGATGAAAGAATGTGAAATTGAGATCAAGATAATCACATATTACAGTCAATATTGATGTCATGATGCATGCTTGCTCCTCAGATGGATCTAAATTATCCTGCTTCACAGACTCGCTTGAAGTCATTCATTTGGCGTCACATAAATATTTTACTCTGTTTAGTCACTGAGGCATAGCTCAACTATAAATCAAAACTTGTGTACGTGTATTTGTACTTTACTGTGTGTGTGTGTGTTTGTGAGCAGGCTTTTAAAACCGAATATTAAAACATTAGGGTTGACAGAATGACAGAGTGTACTTTACAGGGTGCAGAGGATAATTGAAATGCCAAAACCGCAAGATGGTCATTTCATTTTCACATGAATTTACTCTTTCCATCACCAGCTATTAATGCTGAAAATACTTTATGAGGGAGCTGTGAAGGAATTTATTTTTCTGAGCGAATATTCTCTGGATAAACCAGTCATCTCGGAGTTGACAGAAACATTCTCACTGCCCTTAGTCAGCCAGACATCAAATGAAAAACTGTAGTAATGTATAGTGCAGACCTGTGCCATTATAGTCCCTAATAAACAATACACACTCTTACATAATAATGATATTGGAATATAAATTGTTATGCCCCTGTCCAGGGGGCTACGAGTGTAACGCAACAGCTAAAAAGTGTTTTGGGTCCTCAAACCAAGTTTTTAATACTGAAATACAGATAAAGTGAAGTTATTTATTACTACAAATGGGTGAGATTGTAACATCATACTGGCCAACAACAAAGGTCAAAGCAACACACAAAAGAAACAAGGTGCTACACACCATATATTACATATGCTACACAGTTTTACATTTGTATTTCTGGACCAAAAGGCGTAGGAGGAAGCTGATTGCCTATTTTATCTATTTTACAGCAAGTGAGGCAGAACAGAAACACAGCAGACAGACTGACTCACAGCTGCAGGGCGTAGTACGCACACACTGTATAATGGTCCCAACTTTGTTGATTTAGTAACCTTTACAGAACCTCCAGGCAATGTTTCCTGAAGGTTCTGTAAAGGTTAGTCTTGAATAACCTTTACAGAACCCGCTACAGCTAATCCAAAAGCTAGCAGCTAGCCACCTATGGTGGGACCCCCCTGTCTGTCACTCAAAGCGGCTATGCTCTTAATTTTGCATAACTGTATTCTCAAAATGATTTAAAATGCTGTAGCATTAACATTTAC